CAGGTTCGTCAACAAGGTACTAAGCGTTTTCTGCTATGCATGGTACACCGCCATACGAAGATCTGCGTCAGTCTGTTGAATGCTTTGATAAGCCAAAATATGTTAGTCAACCTAATCATGCTAATGTTACTTTGCGTCTTTTGAGAACAAATGAAAAGGAAGATATGCTTTTGCGAAACCCCTTGTTTTTCGAACGTTAAGTGTTTTATCCGAGAAAAGTATTGACAGAGCTGAATCTGTCATTGAAATCTAAAAATATCAATCAAGAAGAGACCAATCGTGGTTATCTAGAAACAAAACCTGAGGGAATCGCATGAACTCCATAAGAAGCTAGACCAGGTTTGTCAACAAGGTATTAAGCGTTTTCTGCTATGCATGGTACACCGCCATACGAAGATCTGCGTCAGTCTGTTGAATGCTTTGATAAGCCAAAATATGTTAGTCAACCTAATCATGCTAATGTTACTTTGCGTCTTTTGAGAACAAATGAAAAGGAAGATACGATTTTGCGAAACCCCTTATTTTTCGAACGTTAAGTGTTTTATCCGAGAAAAGTATTGACAGAGCTGAATCTGTCATTGTCCGGGTTTCACCAACTGTGGTTATAGTGCTTAGACCAGATTTAACACCGAACGATGTGTTTGAAAGAAAAAAACACAGGACAAATGTATAACCTGACATCCAAACATTTTATGAAATAACAGATCATTGTAGAGTTTAGTGTTTGTGGAATTTGTTTTCAATTATTAAAACTCTTTCAATGCCAGCGTTTAAATTCAGTAATTATCATATATAAAACTACTTTGTTGTTCAGTACTTTCAATGGCTCAGTTCTTGTGAACATTTCATTATATAAGATAATTTCAGGCCTGAAAAAAATAGTCCAGATATAAATTTAAATGCCTGAATCTTACAGCAGTTACAAGTATTTGAACTTTGGTGGAAAGTTTTCTCATTGGCAATCATACCACCATATCACATCTTCTTATTTGTATATGTAAATGAATATAGATAACCGTTATCACACGTTGTACCTTATATAACATAAACTTATATAACAAATTCAAGTCACACGTGTTTTGGTTCGTCTGCTTTATATGTTAGAAAGTCTTGCATGGTAAGTTGTCAGAGTGGTTATTTTTCGTTGAAATCTAAAAGTTAAAATGAAATGTTCAACAATTTTCAGTTTTTCATAATTTTGTAAGACAGGTGTATGATACCTAAATATATATTTGCATACGAATTTCCCACTGTCATATAAACCAAGTTGACCAATGATCACAACGCATTATGGGATACTACTCATCATCGCAAGAATGACTATTGTACTTTGTGCAAGAGAACTCGGAGTCTCCATTGAGCTATTTGTCATTATAATTCCATGCTCAGATTAAAAAAAAAACAAGTCACGGTTTATTGGACTTTGAGGAGAACATTTTCGTTAAACTTTTAAACTAATCAATATAAAAAAGGAGATGTTGCATACTATCCGTCAGAGTTCAAATTACGAAGATAAAGCAATTGTAGGTCACCGCGTACGGCCTTAATCAACAATGAGAACCCCCCTTACCGATATAGTAAAGTCAGTTTGTTAAATGTTTTCATTCATATGATTCAGCAGTGAATAGTTCAAATGGCTAAACTTTATTTTAATTATAAACCCTGCCCTCGAATTTGCTGAATCACCGCTATCATGTTTTCATAATATAAAGTTTCCATTTTTTTAGTTGTATAACAATGTTATGCAGTAACAGTTGTTTGTATGGCCTAAATTATCTTTAGTACTTTGATGCCAGTTCGAATAAAGTGTATGTCCCGTCGTGAAACGTGATGACTATGGAATCAATCTGATTAACATTCAGATCTATCGTAACTCACCATAACGAATCAGATATCTATATTTTAATTAGATTGACAATGGTATAGATATAGCATTAGTTGAAACCAAGCAGTATCAGGGCGGATCTAGCCATTTCTAAAAAGGGATTACAACACATAAAAATCATATTAAAAAGCGGGTTCCAACCATATGTACCCATACAAATGCATTAGTTGTAAAAAAAACCCAGTATTTTCCAGAAGTAAAACTTTCTGCTTCCATTTACTTAAAGGGGCATTAGCTGTCAAATTTATGTTCTCACCAATTTGACTCAAATTCTCATATTTAATTTATAACATACTAAAATGTATATCCAAATTACAAAAAGTATGAAATAAACTATTAACAATGCATGGACTTGATAATATGTATCAACATTTCATGTTTATTTTTGTCTAGACGTCATCTAATTAACCATCGAGATGACCTCCGAAGACTCCCAATGATCATATATCCCGATATAAACATAAATAATTTATAAATATAAATAGATAGCAACCACGTGCAATTGGATTTTCCTATGTCTGATTGATTTCATATTGTAAGTTAAAAGTATGTTCATCATCATTTTTACCTGTATAAGAATGATATTTTGTGGATCTAATCAGTCAACCAAATGGTTCATACTTGTTTCACTTTCAATGTTGACATTCTTTTCCTTTTGATAGCTGAATACATGCGTAATGCATCACTTGAATTGCAAGTAAATAATTCATCAGCAATGTTTCTTAGCTTATTTTGACAAAATTGAACCAAATTGGCTGCTAGAAGCGAATTATTATTTCACTATTTAACTTTCATTAATGATTGAACAAAAAAAAATCATATTTTTATTTTATTTTATCTCGTAGCTAATGCCCCTTTAAAATCTCCAGATGCATAGTATTACAAAATGATATATAATCTTAATTTTACATGATGGTTGTCTAAATGTTGTCCAGTGATAATTTTTACATAGAAATTTTCTGATTTCGCTTCACTAGAATGATAATCTGTAAAATCTGTTAATCAATTATTTGATTTAAAATTTGCTTAAGGTCCCTCTTTTCAATTTAAGTACCAACAAACAGGGGATACTCATATCTTACTATGGTGAATGGCTATAGTGAATAAAATGTTTAGTGCACTTTGTTTCATATATGTATCGCACATTATTCAACTGGTTTGGTGAATTTGTCATATTGGAACATGCAGAACTTTGATTTTCACATCAAATGCCAATCCTTGTTTTTATTTCATAATTTTCACATGAAAGAAGCAAACTTTTTATTCTGAGCATATACAATTTAGTTCGCGTTATACATGTACATATATTCAGATATAATATGAAGCTGTCAACACAATTGTTCGTGAGATTGTGAGAGTTATTTATGTTGCAACCACGATAGGACGTATTATTACTGTAAAGTAAACTATGTTTTTTTATTCTACATTGGCTAGAGGTATAGGGGGAGGATTGAGATCTCACAAAACATCTTTAACCCCGCCTGTCCCAAGTCAGGAGACTCTGGCCTTTGTTAGTCTTGTATGGTTTTTTAATTTTAGTTCCTTTATATGTTTTGGAGTTTAGTGTGACGTCCATTTTCACTGAACCAGTACACAATTTTATTTAGGGGCCAGCTGAGGACCACCTCCGGGTGCGGGATTTTCTCGCTGCGTTGAAGACCCATTGGTGGCCTTCGGCTGTTATCTGCTCTTTGGTCGGGTTGTTGTCTCTTTGACATATTCCCCATTCCCATTCTCAATTTTATGGTTGTCCTAATGCATTCCATTGGTCAATAAATGAATTTATGTTAACAAAAAATGTTTTGGTGCTTCTGCTTGTTCAAATTATATAATGCATATCTAAAAGTTAGTGTTCATGACCTCATAAATAGACTACAATCAAAAATGAATATGAAGTTAGTGTATAGGATTTCATAGAAACCTTTTCCAAAACTTCGTATATTATAGTATTTATATGTTTAAATCTCACTGTTTTTACACAAATTTTATGTTAACAGCTAATCAAAGATGTTTCAAAGGCTTGTGACTTCCACCATCATTCTGCAGGCGGTTTTCATATATTGTAAGGTAAGCGGCAAGTTTGTCTCTGAAACAAATGTGATGTTTTGCTAGAAAGCATATAGGTTGTTAGTTTGTCTCTGAAACAAATGTGATGTTTTGCTAGAAAGTATTTGCAGTTGGACATGCCTTGACATCAGTCTTATATCTTCTATCATAATTTATGTTACAAGAATAATCGCGTGAAATGTGTCGCCGCCAAATAATCACCAAATTATACTCAATCGTTCTCATCCAAGTAAAAAATGATTGAAGAAGTTAATTGACTGGTGTATGTTCACAAAAGGACTTACTGATGACTTTGTAATATTTTTGTATTTTGTTTCAAACTCACACTTTGTTCTTTCGTTTCAATATAGTAAGGACAATTTATTAATTCTACAATAATTATTTTAAGAATTCGCGCATTACATACCCGTCCACAATCATATTAAAGTCCGGTAAAAATCAGTCGGAAGATATGAAAATATGGATATGTGATACGATTGCCGATTAGACAAATATCCCCCATAGACCAAAAGGATGAAAATGTAAACAACTATAAGTCACCGTACGGCCTTAAACAATGAGCAAACCTATATCGCATAGTAAGCTATGTATAAAAGGCTCCGGAATGACAGTCTTCAGAAAACCTAACATTGCATAAGAAATTGGTAAATTGGCAAGACTTTCTCGGACGGACAGACGCACAACTGTTTGCCATAATAAGTCCGTCTTTGAGTTGACTATATTGTCGGTAGACGAGTGTATCATAAGCCAAGTAACAATTTCCATAGAAGTACTTCTAATGTCCTTCAATAAATATTTTGTTGGCGTCTATGTCAGATTTATTCGTATGTTTGTTTGATTTTTGTTAGTCAGTCGTATTGTATGTCTGTGATGTATGTTTACACAGTTTTGACTGCTGGATTCCAATTAATTTATTGTCACATTAACCAATTGTGTCTGTTTCGGTTGCTCATCCAATTTTGTCAATAACAGAACAATAAACAACTGTCATACAAGTAGAGGTTCAGCTAGCTATAAAACCAGGTTAACCCGCCATTTTCTTCGGAAAATGCCTGTACCAAGTCAGGATTCAGACTGATATTGTTCATTCGTTCCGTTGATTGATATTGTCAAACGTTTGATTTTGTCAGTTTTGTAGACTTCCCACGTTTTGAATTTTCCTTAGAGTTCGGTATTTTTGTTAATACTTTATTTTTTATCAAACTACATTTATTATTGCAATGAAGCAATTTAACCATCGACCAATCAGATAACAAGATATATCTTCATAATGACTTCACAGTCTATCATTTTACTGTATGTATTAATATAAAAACAAGGAGTTGTGTTATGATTGCAAATGAAACAACTATCCACCAAAGTTCAAATTAAGTTGATGTAAGCAATTATAGGGCCTTCAACACTGAGAAAACCCCATACCGTATAATCTGCTTTAAAAGGCAACGACATGAAATAATATGAACAATTCAATTGAGAAAAGTAACGGCCTGATTTATATCAAAACAAATTTCGAAAAACAAATATGATAAATATGAACCTCCGACAACCACTGCACAACAGGCTCCTGACTTGGGAGAAGCACATAAAGAATGTGGCGGGGTTAAACATGTTTGCTGGCGCCAAACCCTTCCCCTAACCTGGGACGGTGGTGTAACAATACAATATAAAAACAAACTGTTTTTGTTAGATGTATTTCTATTTGTATCCATCTGATGAGTTAAGCCTTTTTCAACTAATTTTTATAGTTCTTTCTTATGCTGTTTTGTTACACCACTGTCCTAGGTTAGAGGGAGGGTTGGGATCCCACTAACATGTTTAACCCCGCCACATTCTGTATGTTTGTGCCTGTCCCAAGTCAGGAGCCTGTAATTCAGTAGTTGTCGTTTGTTGCTGTGTTACATATTTTTTTTTCGTTCCTTTTTTTGTACATAAATTAGGCCGTTAGTTTTCTCGTTTGAATTGTTTTACATTTGTCATTTCGGGGCCTTCTATAGCTGACTATGCGGTATGGGCTTTGCTCATTGTCGAAGGCCGTACGGTGACCTATAGTTGTTAATTTCTGTGTCATTTGGTCTCTTGTGAAGAGTTGTCTCATTGGCAATCATACCACATCTTCTTTTTTTATATATAAAGAAAATTCTATGATGTTATCATCATATTATTTCAGAGTGAGAAGACTTGGATGTTTTCCGTTGGCGGTAACAGAAAACCAGCCAACTTTATGTAAGTTGCACGTATATTTAGATAAATACTGAAAAATGTTTACAAGCAGGGATTTTCAGTTGAATTCTATTTTTTCCTTTCAATATCAACATTTTACAGAGGCGAAATCGGTAAAAATGTTACAAACAAGGATGCGGATGCTACTTGTTTTCGAACAGCGAAAAGAGCAACTTTTTTTTTCAACTTTCAGAGATACAGACGGGTATTTGAAAGGAGCCGATATTGATTTGATTAAATCAGGTAAATATGAGTATTTTATTGCAATTCTTATATAATTTGCATATCTACAAATACTTCACAGTGGTTGGTTCGTCCAAATTTCTCCCTTGGTTTACACTTCGGTAGACCATGATGTTGCCGATACAACTTATCTATGTAAGCACTATTTCGATTTCACTGTGAAATAATAATACACGATACACATAAAATGAATCCTGGGGTAAAAAATACCCCTATGTTTAGGTTGAGAATTATAAGGATTTAACTATACCTCATATAGCTAAATATAAACATTAATATAAATGTAAATAGATAGCAAGCATGTGCAATTGAATTTTTCTAAGTCTGTTTGATTTCATATTATAGGTTATATGTTAATCATCGTTTTACCTCTATAAGAATGACTTTTGTGGATCGAATCAGTCAACAAAATGGTTCACCCTTGTTTCACTTTCAATGTTGACATTCTTTTCCTTTTTATAGATAAACATGCCTAGTACATGCGTTTCTCATTTCTAACTAAGGGGTCACATGCATACAGATTCAATGAGATTAAATTATTGACTTGCAAGTCAATAATACATCAGCGATGTTTTTGAGATTATTTTGACAAATTTGGGCCAAACTGACGGCTCATAACGAAATATTATTTCAAAACTCCGCTTTTATTTATACTTAAAACAAAAAGAATCATAAAATGATGAAATTATTTTTCAGTATGTGAAATCGCAAACAAAAAGTGTGAGATAACTGTTCAACCATTTGAAGAATGCGTTAGAACAGTTCGTGATAGAATATACCCAGGCATAGGTAAGAATCGTTTTTATAATACTGTTGAAAAAATCAAAAACTACTTGCTGGATAGAAATAAAGGTTATGTAAGATATCCCCGTTGTCAATACAGGCGCATATCGGGTAATGTACCCTTCCAAACATTTTCGTATTGTAATTTTAAGACGCTCAGTGTTTTTCTTTGTCTGAAAATTTTGGGTTATTTTCCGCCTGATACTACGTGAAATGGTGTGCCGTTTGTATAAACTTGTTAAGTTCTGATTTCGGCCTTCTTCCTCATAGCCTTGTACGAGTAGTTTTTGAGTAAAGTTAACGCTTCGATTTATGAGATCATCACAACTAGAACGTTATACTGATATATCGTAGGTCATAGAAATATTACCTGTTTCCACTGAAGAACGGGAAGTTGATATAGGAAAACTGAAATATTCGCGTTTGTCCTTTTTTTCCTCTTCACTTTCCACATTTTTGTACGATGGCGATGTACACATGTACACAAAGATTACAGGTTGAGATTTAAGAAACAAATCGTGCGTCAGAATACAACTATTTTTATATGCATAACAAGAATGTGGAGTAGACGTCAAAGAGACAGAAACCAGACCAAAGACACAAAAATATGAACTTTTCTTCCGTGCTCTGTCGCGGAGTATTTGTCAATTATCGCCACAACATATACTAAATACGCATACATTTTTTTTAGTTGATTGGAATTACACATTTGTACATGTCCGTTGCGCCTCGGGTAGGGGGCAAACGGTATGGGTTATTTTCACTTCAACAACGGGATCGACCGTAATTGTTACTGTTAGATGTGAAAGTATCGATAACATTATCCGCTTAAGCAGTAGCGAAGGAATAGACTGATTTGGGGGGAGGGCAACCTTTTGACAAGAAAAAAAACATAACATCAATAGTCTAGAAGTTAGTCAGTGTCCTTTTCCATTTTCATTTTTAATTTTATTTGAAAAAGAAAGGAGGGCAAAACATAGAAAAATAGATCCTCGGCGCCAACCAACTTGCTAAAGTAATCAGTGCTCCAGCATTTACATACTTTATCTATTGTACACATTTTGAAATATTGCATACTATGATAAGCAAAGTATACATTTAAAAGCCGTATTTGGCGGTTTTGTAGCCTCGTTTAGTTTTTTCGCTCCCAAACTGCTTAGTTTATTTGCATAACCTTCCAAGCCTCAGGCTCAGAACTTTCCTAGCCAGATTGATGAGGAGGAACCTTTCAGTGTCTGCGAACACTTGTGAGTAATATTTTCCAATTGTTATGCCTGTTATTATTATTTTATTATGGGGAAATGGTATGTCGCGTGTGTTAGTTATGTGTCTATACCCTTTATCATTACAGGTATTATAAGGAAATGGTATGATGCTTGTGTTGGTTTATATGTGTCTATACCCTTTATTATTACAGGTATTATGGGGAAATGGTATGATGCTTGTGTTGGTTATGTGTCTATCCCAGAGAGATTGAACTCCATGGCATTCACAGATGCCTATGCGAATGCAGTTGCTACTTTTACTGTTTTAAAAGGAAATCCCCGTAATTTTAATCCTGATAATGTTTCAGAGAGTGTAATCAGTGAGTGAAATTAACATGTTAAGGATATGTTGCGATATCAATGTCATTATTCCAAAGACATTTAATTCATTTCGCCAATGTTTGGTTTGTGTATGTGCTTTCTGTATCACACTTTAACATTACACTATAAACAATATATTTTGTAAAACTTCAGATCCTAAAGACCGTTAAAGTCAAATCTGTAGGAATTGATTAATTCATGCATACACACTAGTAATGCAAATTTACTGTCCCTACACGCAGAATCGAATTTAACGTCCAAATTCCGACCTGTCGTGTCTTTGTATATATGTATCCTGCTCAGGCAAGCGCCCGCCTCTCTTTGGCAAGGGTTTTCCTGCCGGATGGGAGATGTTCAGATCATCATATTTCAACACGCCAGTTGATCTATGGAGTCTTGTGCACGGTTTTTACGTCGCTTATTTTATAGAAATAAGAAAATGAGAATACGGGAAATCTATTATCAATTAGAAACGGAAATAGTCCTGCCACAATTCACTGAACAACCTTTTTTTTTTCTTTAAAATAATAGAAAATTGGAAAGTGAAAGGTTTGGCTTCATGAACTTTGAATATCTGATGACAATGGCTAATCGGCTTTTTATTACATTCTGATATCGTCTTACAATGGCCGGAGATATATATACTTTATACAGTTACATCTTTCAAATCATGCCACAACTTACCTGAAGCTAATTACATTTTTTACAGCTCTCATTTTGTATGCGACATTTCTGTAATAAAATAGACATTATATACAAAATATAAATGACAATCAATCTTATCAAAATATCGACCATATGAGTTTAACGAAATCCGAGATATATATTTTTATTAAATGGCAATACAATTCCGAAGAATGCTCACGTTTGAATTTAAAATTACACTTTTCGATTAGAACAAAATTTTGGAATTTCAATTTTCTATTTTTTAATTAAATTGTACCATTGAATATGGTCATACCTAATGTTTGTTGATCTGAGCTCATATGATCACGTTAGGTCATGTGATCATAGATAAAATCTTAGAAATCAACATTCTTGTTTATTCGAACTCATATATATAATTGAATTCAAGCGTGACGTTTTCTTAAAACTAGCATTTCATTACCTAAACATAAACATATATGAATTGACAAGTAGGAAAATGTTTTTGGTAAGCCCGTCATTATAGAAAAATCCAAGCTATGTAAATCTGTATAAGTTATATAAATATTCTTTTTTTTATTTAGATCATAGAACTAGAGTCATATGTATATATACACGTATTTGTCTCTGATAGAACATTCTAAGAATGTCGAACATGTTGAAAAAAAAACTTGGAAAAGATGAATAGATTATCATAATACGCCACGAAACAACCAACTTTCCGAAGCAACATTACCATAAAATCTTTCATCAAGCGGTACTGCTGGATATTAATTGATGAGTTCTATGTATGTCTTGAATGACTCATTGGAATTATTTTTGCTTTACTTTCAGCTACTTTAAATGGATTATTTACTAGCAGTCCCTGTTTAAAGCGTTTGAACAAAGTCCCCAAGGGAATAATAGTAGCTGCCGATTTGGGCGAAGTTAAAGACATACTAAATAATGGATCGGTAAATACAAATTTGTACATTGTATATAAAAATGAATTACCTCTTTAAATTTTCATAAGTCACCTGGACATACCAGACAACTCATTGAATTATTTAACAACCTGTCCCAATTTTAATTGGTTAAGGAAATTTCTTTACAATGCATTTGTATTCTTTGAATTCAAAATGCATAATATTTATTGTCATTTCTAAAAAGAATTATACATAGGTGCGATTCACAATTTCAGTTAGCTTTTATAAAACAATGTTATGATTTAGGGTTTAATCCAGCTTAGTTTTGCATTCCAACAGATTTACCATACATGTGCTCCAATTCTAGGCTGACGCTGTATTTTCTCCCCGAACCTTAATACCTGGATATGATGTTTTGCCTAACCGTTATGACTGCACTGCGAGTGGAATTGGAATGATGGTTCGTAAGGATAACGAACTTCCTGGTTGGTGGAATCCAGCATTTCAATCATTCTACAAGTCCGGGAACTATACAGTGTGGTGTAGAACTATAAATCAAAAATTTGGAGGTAATATACATTCATTCAGATTTTTGTCATAGATTATTGGATGAATATAACGATACTTTCATAGGTTATTGCACGAGCAATACAGTAGTTTTAAATGTTTTTGCACGGATATACCGATACTTTCATATGTTATTGCACGAATATTACGATACCTTCAAATGTTATTGCACGGATATAACTAAACTTTCATATGTTATTACACTATTGCACGGATATAACAAGTCTTTTATATGTTGTTGCACGAATATTACGATTTTTCATAGGTTATTGCACGAATGTTACGATTATGTCATAGGTTATTGCACAAACATTACGTAACGATACCTTTAAATGTTATTACACGGATATAACGATACCTTTAAAACTTATTACACGGATATAACGATACCTTTAAATGTTATTACACGGATATAACGATACTTCCATATGTTATTGCACGACTATTACGATTCTTTCATAGGCTATTGCACGAATATTATGATACTTACAGTGTATCAACATAATTCGCACAGGAGAAAAATTATATTCTGAAAGAAAGTCAAATTCAAAGATTTTATTGATATGAAGTCCAAAACCGCGATTGTCACAAAACACAGAACAACACATGAATAACTTATCAAAAACATACATGTATATTCAGACAAGACAAAAAGCAAAAAAAAAAAACTAATAAAAGAATATTGTAATTTTTCTTCCATTTTGATTGAGGAGGTACAAACTTACAAGAAGTTTTCAATGTCCATATAATAGTTAATGATAATATATATAAAAAAATAAATTATATAGTGAAATAAATTAAGTTAATGAACAACTATATATTTGTACATCTCACTAATGCAACACTTACTAACATCAGAATAATTACTGCGAGATATGAGAAGGAATTTTTTAAGGTCTGAAAGATTATAGAAAGTGGGCTGAATATCTGAAAATTTCTGAGAAAAATATAACTGTTATCAAGATTATCTTCGCTACATATTTAAAATAAATTGATATGATAACGCCAAGAGCAAAATTTAAGGTTTTCCGAAAAATCTAAGGTACCTTAAATCTTAACAATAAGAGGATAAGTGAACATTGATGGACAAATATTTTCGACTGCATTCGGAGTTAGAGTTATTGTTAAAGAATGTTCAACTGTATATTTTAAAGTACAAATGTAATTCGACTGACAAATTTTGCATTGAAGGACACCTGTAATTAAATGTGTTGTTTTAAATTATACTTAAAAGTTACGTCCTTGTTCCATTTTGTTCCCTTTTTAATGAATATAATTATTTCTTACTTTAGGGAATTATTGTACCCCAAATATTAGAACCGTTTCGTGATACAGGTTTTTTGACAAAATTAAAAAATTGAATATTAATTGAACTGTAAGGACTTACGCTAATTTCTTTAGGGGTATAACCCTTTAGGAAATTACTCTACTGTTGGTGTTATACAAATCATTATGAGCCTTAAAATCTAATCTAATGATTACAATATGTTTTCTAAACGTATTAGGTTATTTGTTATATGCTGATGATTGTATTGTTGTCTTCTCTACAGAAAGGACTACAAAGCATATTTAAGTAAAACAATATCCAAGTTGTAGGCAACAGGTAGTTCACCGACGTTCAAATTTCATATCGTTACATGCAACAGTAGTTAACCAATGTTCAAATCTCATAACGTTACATGCAACAGCAGTTTACCGATGTTCAAATCTCATAACGTTACATACAACAGTAGTTTACCGATGTTCAAATCTCATAACGTTACATACAACAGTAGTTTACCGATGATCAAATCTCATAACGTTACATACAACAGTAGTTTACCGATGTTCAAATCTCATAACGTTACACGCAACAGTAGTTTACCGATGTTCAAATCTCATAACGTTACACGCAACAGTAATTTACCGATGATCAAATCTCATAACGTTACATTCAACAGTAGTTTACCGATGTTCAAATACCATAACGGTACATACAACAGTAGTTTACCGATGTTCAAATCTCATAACGTTACATTCAACAGTAGTTTACCGATGTTCAAATCTCATAACGTTACACGCAACAGTAGTTTACCGATGATCAAATCTCATAACGTTACATGCGAAAGTAGTTTACCGATGTTGAAAACTCATAACGTTACATACAACAATAGTTTACCGATGTTCAAATCTCATAACGTTACATTCAACAGTAGTTTACCGATGTTCAAATACCATAACGTTACATGCAACAGTAGTATACCGATGCTCAAATCTCATAATGTTACATACAACAGAAGTTTACCGATGTTCAAATCTCATAACGTTACATTCAACAGTAGTTTACCGATGCTCAAATCTCATAACGTTACATACAACAGTAGTTTACCGATGTTCAAATCTCATAACGTTACATACAACAGTAGTTTACCGATGTTCAAATCTCATAACGTTACACGCAACAGTAATTTACCGATGATCAAATCTCATAACGTTACATTCAACAGTAGTTTACCGATGTTCAAATACCATAACGTTACATACAACAGTAGTTTACCGATGTTCAAATCTCATAACGTTACATACAACAATAGTTTACCGATGTTCAAATCTCATAACGTTACATTCAACAGTAGTTTACCGATGTTCAAATACCATAACGTTACATGCAACAGTAGTATACCGATGCTCAAATCTCATAATGTTACATACAACAGTAGTTTACCGATGTTCAAATCTCATAACGTTACATACAACAGTAGTTTACCGATGCTCAAATCTCATAACGTTACATACAACAGTAGTTTACCGATGATCAAATATTATAACGTTACATACAACAGTAGTTAACCGATGTTCAAATCTCATAACGTTACATACAACAGTAGTTTACCGATGTTCAAATCTCATAACGTTACACGCAACAGTAATTTACCGATGATCAAATCTCATAACGTTACATTCAACAGTAGTTTACCGATGTTCAAATACCATAACGTTACATACAACAGTAGTTTACCGATGTTCAAATCTCATAACGTTACATACAACAATAGTTTACCGATGTTCAAATCTCATAACGTTACACTCAACAGTAGTTTACCGATGTTCAAATACCATAACGTTACATGCAACCGTAGTATACCGATGCTCAAATCTCATAATGTTACATACAACAGTAGTTTACCGATGTTCAAATCTCATAACGTTACATACAACAGTAGTTTACCGATGCTCAAATCTCATAACGTTACATACAACAGTAGTTTACCGATGTTCAAATCTAATAACGTTACATGCGAAAGTAGTTTACCGATGCTCAAATCTCATAACGTTACATACAACAGTAGTTTACCGATGTTCAAATCTCATAACGTTACATACAACAGTAGTTTACCGATGTTCAAATCTAATAACGTTACATTCAACAGTAGTTTACCGATGATCAAATCTCGTAACGTTACATGCGAAAGTAGTTTACCGATGTTCAAATCTAATAACGTTACATACAACAGTAGTTTACCGATGTTCAAATACCATAACGTTACATTCAACAGTAGTTTACCGATGCTCAAATCTCATAACGTTACATACAACAGTAGTTTACCGATGTTCAAATCTAATAACGTTACATGCGAAAGTAGTTTACCGATGTTCCAATCTCATAACGTTACACGCAACAGTAGTTTAACGATGTTCAAATCTCATAACGTTACATACAACAGTAGTTTACCGATGTTCAAATCTAATAACGTTACATACAACAGTAGTTCACCGATGCTCAAATCTCATTACGTTACATTCAACAGTAGTTTAACGATGTTCAAATCTCATACCGTTACATGCAACAGTAGTTTACCGATATTCAAATCTAATAACGTTACATACAACAGTAGTTTAACGATGTTCAAATCTCATACCGTTACATGCAACAGTAGTTTACCGATGTTCAAATCTAATAATGTTACATTTAAAAGTAGTTTAACGATGTTCAAATCTCATAACGTTACATGCGAAAGTAGTTTACCGATGTTCAAATCTCATAATATTGCATGCAATAGTAGTTTAACGATGTTCATATCTCATACATCCATCAAGTAGATACAAATCGAGGTAAAACAGAAACTAAGAGAATCGCATGGACTCCAATAGAGTGTAAATAATCAAGATTGATTAATTAATGGAGGCATAATATCCGTTCTATTGCAGTAGTCTGTAAATTATTATAGGAATACGTGTTCTGATATGAATATTTCTGAGTTTTATATAAAAAACAGTATAAATAATGCTTCTCCAAAAACTTTACAAGGAATAAAAATATTGTTTTTCAAATTATACATCTTATATGCTTTTGTTTGTTAAGATATTCAAAATTAAAAACAAAAAGTAAAATAACAAAAACTCCAAGGAAAATTGAAAACGGAATTCCTTATCAAATGGCAAAATTAAAAGCTCAAACACATCAAACAAATGGAAAACAACTGTCATATTCCTGACTTGGTACAGGCATTTCCTTATGTAGAAAATGGCGGATTAAACCTGGTTTAACAACTGCATGCTTAGCTGTCGACAACTAAGGTTTTGTACAGTTGTTAAAGCGGGTGTATTACCGGTGTAAACAGCTACTTTTTAGATTTATTTGTATGTTTGCTTGAATTTTTAAGTCAGTTGTTTTGCGTGCTGTGATTTATGATGACAAAGTTTTTGCTGCTGGATCTTAATTATTGTCACATTACCTATACTATTTGTGTGGGTTTCTCACCAAATTTTGTCAATATAATGGAACTATAAACAACTGTCATGCAAGGGGGTTGGATAGCTATAAAACCAGATTTAGCGCACCATTTTCTTAGGATAATACCTGTACCAAGTCAGGAATACGACAGTTGGTTTCTATTCGTTCCGTTTGTTGTCTAACGTTTAACTTTGTCAGTTTCTTTGGAATCCCCCTTGTTAAATTTACCTTGGAGTTCGGTATTTTTTAAATACTTTTTTGCTAAATGATGTATGTGATCACATGTATATATATTGACCATATAAACTATTTCATTTATGCTCAGTACATCTTAATTTTACAAAGGTATCCGTATTGATGATAGCTACTGCTTACCACCACCTGCTGTTAAACCGACAGCTTCTGGATCTGGGACACAACCTGGCCAAATTGTAGGACGGAGATAAATAATTCTGACAGATATTACCATTAAGATGTCGGACGAAAAAAAACAAGATTTATACGGTATCATATTGTGTGAATGGGAAGAGATTGACTCAGCAGGTGCTGAAAATAATCTTTTATGCACAATTTAAATTTTATTTACGTTATTTTGTTGTTAATAAAAGTTCATTGTATCATCATGCATGGTACGCCTGCTTTGCCAAGATCATTTAGACTGTAATTTGATAAACGCTTCTGTATTAAAATTGTGTACATTTTTTTCTAGCAAAAAACATTACACCAAATTGTGGTATTGTACTCCTTTAATATGGCATTGCTGTATGAAATATATTCCAAAGTAAAGCCACTGAGAGTGTAGGGCGCCATTATTTGATATTGGCCCGGTTTGCACTTCTAGGAGGCATTTGAAACAGCAAAATAGGTTTTTGATCTTTTCCCAAATGACTTTGGAACGTTTTATTTTGTCTGCATTTAAGTGTCTAAAACTGTTTTATAATTATCTAGTAGATTTTTGCCTTTTCAATATGTTTACATTTAAACAATGAAACATTGATTTATGTGTCGTTTTGTTATGTTTGGGTTTTATGGGTTGTCACGCGTTATTTCATTCATGTGCATTGAATGTCGGGAGGATATTTATGCATAGGACCGGCATGTATTAACAAGATTCGCTTCTTCATCCAAGCTGCCGTATGGAAACGTAGCACATGCCAACCAACTTGCCTACATTAGCTCTAGTGATTACAACTTCTGCGTTGAAATAATGCAATATTGCAATATCATAGAAAAAAAGAAAGTGCGTTGCTGAACATGTGGGTTGATGGGGGAAAATGCTTTCGATTATGCTACCATGGGATAGTCGGTGAATGAAAGTAACATATGGTTTATTTGCTTTACAAAAATTCTTCTTTTTTTCAAGACAGAAACTTGCCGCTCCAAGTAAGGGTGAAAAATGTCTATGTTTTCGCAAAGTACTGCGCTCTGACTCATATACCCAGTGAGGCCTGAAAAAAGCCTTCAGACTTCAGATCAATCTTCGTTTTACGGTGATAGTGTTTGCCGCAATGTAAAGTGTTTCTATTTTTATTTTGAGCAGGCATAAAATAAGTTTACGGCATGCTGTGCCGATGCAAATTGTTTCTACGGCGGTGGCCATGGCTGCCTTGTCCTTTGCTACTCCTGAATATTCTCATTAAAAACTCATAAGATACCAGGCATATACTTTTGTACGCAAGATGCGGGTTTTGTCTACATTAGACTCATTTGTGGTGCCCTAATCAAATCAGATGGCAAAATCAATTACGAAGTTGGAGAGCATCGTTGCAACTGCAGCATAACTGTATACCCTTTTAAATCATTCCACAACCCCTTTGTTGATCATTTCTTCATGGCAAATAATTGGGAGCTGTCTGTTTATGAAATGCCTTGAAAAGTTTTTTTAGAAACAAGTTTCTATATTCATGGTCTATTTCAATTGTTATAATTAAAGTTGAAAAATTTCTTGGTTAGTCAACTCTTCATGGCAAACAATAATAAAAAAAAATGTTGCCAATTATGGTTAATCTCATCCATGTCTGGGGTAGACAATCGTAAAGGTTTCGAATAATTCAACATTTTTATATCAATATATAAACAAAATTTACAGTATCAGTGATATTCCACAGAAACAGAAATTCTGGATATTGAGCTAGTGATACTCTCCATAAGACGAAACATCCACCAACAGTAGCATCGACCGAGTGGATTAAAAACTCATTAAAGATACCAGGAATAAAATTTGGACCGACGAGTGTATTTCGTCTACATAAGACTCATCGGTGGAACTAGAATCAATAATTCAATAATAATTGACAGGACATATACAAACGAGTTGAAGAGCATTAACCCCCCCCCCCCCCCCCCCCCCCCCAATTAATCATTAAATATGACTAAGTTTTATCTATGGTTTGATGTAAAAAAAAATCTTAGTGTTTCGAATATTTCAACATTTTGTAAACAGTAAACATACAAATATGACTGAACAAATGTTGTTGGACTTGTGATACTATCGGGGACGAAACGCCAATCGGGAGTGATATTGGTCCAGTGGTAGTAAAATCTAATCAAAGATAACACGCGTATAATTTGGCACGAAAGATCTGAATATAAATTGTTTTTAGTTATATACCTCCACCTATTATTTTTAAGAACTGGCTTTCTAAACTTTTGACTAATAAAAGGGAAAGTGATAAAAATAAAAATAAAATCTATAGACTTGAAGCGTCAGAAGCGCATTCCTGGATTAACATTCATCAGAAACGCACATACCAAACAAAAATTAATGCCAATGATGTATATAATTGCCTAAAACACGTAAAGAGCTTTATGACCAAAAGAGGCCTAAAGGAATAACTAAATGTATACAAGGTCAACTTTGCCTTTGGGAGTTGGAACCTGTATTTTAAAAATAAATTATCAATTTATCAATGGAAAATTATAAAGGTACAATCAAAATCAGAAGTTAAAGAAGAGCAGACAAAACCGTGGCCAAATTAAAAAAAAACAGACAATTTGTATGGCCAAACAAATGTTCACAAAACAAATAAACATTGCAAAAAAACTCAGTAAAATTAGGACTTAACTTTGATGCTTTAAAATTCGAAGAAGTTCTTTCAACACTTAAAACACTCTTCGAATTCCTTATGACATTCAAAATTTGGTGATGAGTCGTATTCTGTGATAAATGGTGAATGACGCATGAAGATAGGATTGTAAATACCCTAAATGAAATTCATATCTGTACTTATCTGTCACACAGAAATTCCGTAAATGTCAAAGATGTCAATATGGCGAGCAATAAAAACTGCGAAGATTTGAATCCATATGTTAAATTAGGAGCCTTAGTGTTAAGTTGTGTTGTATGTCTGTGATGTAAGTTTACACAATTTTTACTGCTGGATCCCAATTATTGTCACATTAATCTTTTATGTTTTTGTTGCTCACTATTAATTTTGTCAATATAACGGAACTTTAATCCACTGTCATACAAGAAGGAGGTTAAGTTAGCTATTAAACCATGGTTAATCCACCATTTTCGTCGAAAAATGAATGTACCTTGTCAAGTTTATATCAGCTTTTTCATTCGTTCAGTTGGTTGATAAAGTCTCACGTTTGATTTTGTCGATTTTTATGGACTTTCTCTTTTTAAATTTACCTTGGAGTTTGGTATTTTTGTTATACCTTTGTGACACTGTCTGTTCAATGGGAGGCCTCTTTTACAGCATCTGACCACATCGTGGCGAAACGAAAAACAAAACAGTGTACAAGAAACTTCAGAAAAAAACTTGAGCAACACTATCCCTACAAAAAAAACAGGACTAAATACAGCAGGCCCGGACGTATAAACAGTCCCTGGTCCACTATTGACACCTATCGTGTTGTTCATGACAAGTGAAATGAAGAGGATAAGTAATATTTTATGATTTCACAATCAAGGAAAAGAAGACGGGGTTTTGCCGACGACAATTGGGGCATATCATAATATGAAGGCCTGATTGAATGTTGCAGTACAGAAATTATCAGTTCATAGTAGAAAAATCGAAATGATCTCTTTTGTTGTAAAGTTTGATTCTCAATCGATACTCATTGTCATTTTCAAGATAAGACTTAAATGTCTTTGTGATATCCTTTATTTCAAGTTCAATGGGATACAATAGAATAGTTGGTTACAGGAGGAGCACATTTAGTTGCCGTAGAAACTATCTTTAAAAAACATATAGACCAAACGTAACCAAATATATTGGCAAACAAAACAATTCAGTACTGTTTAATTGATTTTTGAGTGTGTTCAAGAAGACAGCTTCAATGCTTTTGTTGTGTGTTGTTATATAAACAATCGTTTTATAAAAAATAGATAGATCTTGGTAATTCCTGAGTTGCTGGTGCTTGAAGAAACTTTTTATTTTATTTTCGATTTTATTTGTCACATTTAACATTAATGTATTTCTCAACATCCATGGTATCCCTTCAATATATAGTATTTGGTAACTGCAGAATTTGAATGAAATCAAAATAAAATCGATGAGTAACGGAAGTGCCTTCTGCAAAAATTGACTCTTATGTCAAAATCTTTCTATCCCATATGTTTTACTTACTCTCTTTTGGATGCAGTTGGTTGCAAACGATGTTAATATTGGCAATTTTGGACATTATATCATTCGTCTTTTTTTGTAAATGATTAAGTTTACATTTTCACTTTCTTCGTACTGTTATTGTCAAGATGTCAGCCAGAAATCGTCAAATCTGTTTAAATTGAAAATGGATGAAACTTTACAAAAACTACATAGATATTGAACATTTTCACAGCTGATGAAAAGATCATTTATAGATTGTCTACGTTCATAAAAATCCTTTTCCTGAAATAAGAAGGTATAGCAAAAAGCACCTTTTAATTAATAAATTTGGTCATATTTATAGATCAACAGTTTTTGCCATTTTTTATGATTTTGATTTTGATTTTTTGGTGTCTTAACGCCACGTTTAAGCACCGCTTTTGGTCTATTTCGTGGCGGCCAGTTTTTATTGGAGGAGGAAGCCAGAGCGCTCGGAGAAAACCATCGACTTTCGATAGGAAAACTGACAATCCTAGTCAATTAAGATTGGAGTCGAGTGCACCCACACGAGCGGGGTTCGAACTCACAACCTCAGTGTTGACTGGCTAATGATTATAGTAGTAACTACTTAGACCACTCGGCCACCGAGGCCCCCCGCCATTTTTTATGAGAGTCACTGTTGAGTCTTTATATTTTATAGACGAAACGCGTGTCCGGTCTACAAAATTATAAGCCTGGTATCTTTGGTGAGTTTTTTTCAGATACATTGTTGATATCCTGTCACTCAGTAACCTACATTTGAGTAAGGGCTTTTATATAATTCCAGCGAACTTGTTATTAATGATACTTCCGAAACAAGAACGCCTGCTTCATATCTTGATCTTTTTCTCGATATTTTTACAGATGGACGACTCAACCTAGGATCTTAAGAAACGTGATGATTTTGACCTTCCTATTGTTAGTATAAAGTAAAATAACACAAAAATACCGAACTCCAAGGAACATTCAAACCGGAAAGTCCCTTATCAAGTGGCAAAATCAAAAGCTCAAACACTTCAAACGAATGTATTTCCCATTTCTCTTCCCCATGGTATAACGTTTGAATTTCGCAATTGATACGTTACGTTCGTGCATATTTATCATATACAGACCAATCTATTTAAAATATAGACCTCTTATTTCGTTATACTCATATACGAGCACGCGAGTTAATATAGGTCTAAATTTTAATCAGATTGATACATGCTACATTCCACAAAAACTGTTCAGAAGAACGGCTGAAACAAGTTTTACGGTCGTAATCACGAATTGGTTGACCAATAGTAGTTATACGATATATGTATGTGTTTCAATTCACTAGTGACAACTTTTCGCGTTCT